CCCCCCCCCCCCCCCCCCCCCCCCCCCCCCCGCACCTCCCCCCCCCCCCCCCCCCCCCCCCACCCACACCCACCCCCACCCACACCCACACCCTCTCGCATGATACAATACTACGCGTTTGTTACATCTAACAAATCAACGCCGTTGATTTCTCTAAAGATGCAAAAGGTTATCGTAGAAATAATCATATTAATAATTTCCGATTCTTTATTTAGAATCAATGGTTTCTTATATTTCCATTTAGGTTGCACACAATATTATCACATCATACTCTAGCAAGCTCCATTATCAAAGTTAAAAACTAATGAACACTTTGGGTGTGGGTGAGTGTGGGTATATTTCTCTTGTTCGACAATATCCACCCTCCAGTTTTGAGTTTTTAACACAAAAGTATTTATATTATGATTGAGTAACAATGATGAACACTGGTATAGACAAACGAATATTGAATATTAAAAAACAAACAATGTAAATCTCCTTGATAAAAACTTAATTTCTATTAGTTTAATGAGATTGTTTCAATTGGAGTTACTTGATTGGTTGTGTTATGAGTTCGTCTTAAGCAGTAACGTCGAATTAATTTAATAATAAGTGGAATAATCCAATAATAAAAAGTAACGAGACCCCCAATCAAACCAGTGATTGTTGTAATAATATAAATAATATCATATTTAACATAATAAATATATTTACATTCAATTGGATGACATTGTTTATAATAAGCAGAATAATTAATACTCTTATGCCAGCTTTCAGTCGTCAACTTTTGCATGATAAACTTAATTGGTGTAGTCTGATTATATTGACTGTATTGAGAAGCATTTAAAGCTGTTGTTGGCCATTGGATATGACTATACAAATCAAATTGAATAATTTCACGAAATTTATCAATTTCACTTTGATTATATAGAAAAGCAAGACTTGATTTTAGAGTTGCTTCGACCATATAACAACCGACATATATTCCTGGAATTTCATATATTAATGACATTTTCGATTCATTATTGTAAATGCCTGCTGGTTCAATACACGTTGGATCATTGTAACAGGTACAAGATGTTGATAAATTATATCGACGTGGTAAAAGACTGACTTTGAAGAGTTTCTCATTAATTGAAAAAAGTTCAACAGATGTTGAAGTATCAAATCCTGATAATAGAGAATTTGCATATGTTGTATCTCGAACAAGTTGTAATGCATTTATGAATGCGTTTTCACTTGTCGATATGAATACATCGATTAAAGATTCACTTTGCATAAGAAGTTGTTTTTCTGAAATAACTTTTACACTAACAAACGATGCTGCATTGAAATCAACAAGTCCATCGTTGACAGTCATAAATGATAATTGACACAATGATAAAATCGTACCAAATATAGATGAACCTATTAAGCGAAAATCATTAACATATATCTCTCTGTTCATTGACGTATAATAAATGCCGTAAAGCCAATTTAAATTGACAAAATTACTTTGACATACTTGATGAAATGTTGCCTGAAGACTAATAAATGTTTTTCTTTGAATAGCAATATTTTCACATGGACATGCAACTGTTTCAGAATGAATTTTATATAATGAAAAGTATTGTTCAATCGAAGGATTGTTAATTGTTACAGTTTTAGTAAGTTGTACTTGAGATGAATAAATTGTAAGAATAATAACTGAAACGATAAAAACGATGAGAAATATACGAGTAGCAAGCAGTTGATCGTGAAGTTCATGCTCATTATTTTGATTTGAACTATTAGATGAAAACAGATTCAATCGAGAAAATCGACGAAGAATTGATCGAAAAGAAAATTTTGGAAAAGAAATTTTCGGTACCATATTTCGATTTTTTCTATGATGAAAGCAAAAATTTAATACAAATATATAATGAACAAAATGAGGAAGAATTAATTTCAAGATTTTCATGAGACCACCGATAAGTCCAAATATAATTGTTATAATGAGCCAAATAGATTTATGTTCAATTAATGTATATGTGCAATAATCAGGTCGACATTGTTCATAGAAAGCACGATGAGATGATGAAACTTTCCATCGATCAACAAACATTTCATTTTGAATACTTTCAATAGTAGCATTGACACTGAAATGATTAAGATTATGAATATCAAGAGTGTTCAAGGTGGATATGTTAAGCCAAAATGATATTAGATCAACACATGATTGATTAAATAAACACATAAGAGAAGAATAACGAATACTTTCAGTTTGTAAACAACCCGTATAGAAATCCGGTACTTCAAGTAGTTTATTAAGATAGGTATCATTGCTAAAATAGATCGACATTGGACTGAAACATCGCATTGAAATTGAACAGATACATAACTCATTCATATTTTCAGGTCTTAGATAAGCAAGCGGAGAAAATTGCAATGTAAATAATGCATTCGTACCAGCTAGATGAAAAAGGAAATTTGTACGTCTACTACTGATGATTCCATTACTCCATGTTATGTTAAGAATTATCGCAAGATTACGAGCAAATGAACGACTTGTTGATGATATGAATGTGTCTTTGAATGTATCTATTTCCACATTGAATGTTTCTTGAGAGAAACTTTCTTTTATAACAAGAGATGATGCATTAAATGAAATGAGACTCTTCTTGATATAATCATCTGATACTTGACATAAATAAGTAAAAGAATGAAATAATTGTGGTGCAAGAGCTCGAAAATCGGTTGGTAAAAAACGATTTAATGGAGGATTTTTAAGTTCTTGAAGTTTAACATAGTTAGATGAGCACAATGGATGAAGATCATAATCAATTTGCATAAAATCTTTGTATTTCATCATTGATGTCAAGCAAGGACAAGATAGTGATGGATTAGATCGTTGATCTTTTTCCAAACGTATAAACTGTTCATATGTAGGATATCTAATTTCATGGAGATAGGTGTTGCGTTCAGTACTAAAATACGATATTAGAATAATGATAAATATGATTAACAATAGAAAGAAAAGTCGAGTGGCTATGATTCGTTCCTTAATTTCTGTCTGATTCAATGTTGATGAGGACTTGGAAAAGTAATTGAACTTTTGAAGACGTTCCCATACAGAGACATAAACATTACCTGAAAGTAAAAAGATATCAATTAATAAATATATAGTTTAATATGTATTTTAAATACTCAAATACAGCCTATACAACTCGTTAAGAGAAATATAACAAAGACTAGTCGTTTTTTTTCGTCTACGAATGATTGCGTTAAAAGACAAGCATTAAACGCTCGTGTTCCTTTAATTAACAAAAGCTAACTCAAATTTTAAGATAAATATCAGCTTTTAGTTCACACATGGCATTCTATCAAAGCTATGTATTAAAATTATGACTCTATTACCATGGGCATCTAAATTGTTTGCTATTGTTATGATTTCTGGTACTTCTCGGCAATGCAGAAAAAGTGGGGAAAACTCGAGTCATGTGACTCAACTGTTACCATCAGACTGTTTATCATGAGTGATATGAAGCGCTCCTCCAATGATGGTGACCTAGAAACGACACTGGTTGCTTTTAGAGAATCATTTTGAATAATCGTCTGCTAAAAATACCAGCAATTATTAGCTAAAACTGAATTTCTCTCAAAGTTTATTGCATTTCTTAGAAAGGCTGCAACTTGTTAGCTTTCTTTTGGACGAAAGAAATGGAAGCCTAGATGTTGTCCCTCTTCAGCTTTATTATTGGTATCTCTATCTGTAGGTAGTTGTACCAACACTTGATAAAATTTTTATGACTTAACGCAAATTGAAAGAATTTATATCAACTTCGTGTAAATATTGCTTCAATTCAGCTTGAGTCGTGTTCTAGTTATGATCGAAAGAGTAGTCGATTTCGAAGCTCATGATATTAAATAAAGAGTCCTTACTATGATACTTATAATGAAAGCTCAATAGTTATTCACGAATCGAACTAACCCCTCCCCCTCCCCTCATAATTGAAGACCCTCCATATTAGAAGACCCGGGTTTTTTAACCTACCAAGAAAAATTTTCAAAAACTTTTTCCTGAATTTAACTATGCTCGCAAAAGGTTTTCAGCCTCTTTCGATGATTGGGAAATAATCCCTATCTGGTTGAAGGGAACTTGGAGAAGCGTGATATGGCACGCTGCTATTTGAACACTGTCGTTCTCTACATGCCAATATTTTTTTTGTTACTCTAAAACGAGATTATACTAGTCTCAATAAAAAAAGAGTTGAGCAATATAAGTTCAAACATTAAACTTCATGTGCTCATTAGGGGCTTTTCGACTGTTTACCGATTCTTTCATTGAAATAATTCGTGCTTGGACAAAGCCATCAACATGACTACGTTTACTAATAGGAGTCTATAAAATTCTGATTAAAAATACTATCGGAATTTGGCGTAATAACTTATAATTATCACTTTAATTTAATTAGAATTTTATGCATGATTTCCGTGAGTATGAATAGGGACCCGATTCACTGGGAAGTACACCTTATACCACTCATATGATCTACTTTTTACACAGATTTCTGTCGAGTTTTTCAGATTTAAAACTTGTCATTTCTTTTTTGGTATGCATATATACATCTCTATGTTTTCAAGACCTTTAACAGATTTCTGGGTCCTCCGATAAATATTATCGTATATTCAAAAATCGAAATTTAAGACATTCATAGAAATTTAACAGAATAAACGTTGTCTCGATGATGCCAGAAAAAGCTGCTAGCGAAATCTTTAAGGGAGTCAAATTTGAAAAACAATGTAGCTGCTGTTAATAATCACATGAAAATTGTTTTATTCGATTTATTTTGGAACACATTGAGTCATCATTCTTTGCTTAATCCTCTAGAATTGCAAAGAGGAAATAGTTTATATATTCTGATAGAATGTTAGTATTATTCGGTCTTTGATCGTAATTCAAACAAAGTCTACCGCAATCTGTAGCGGATAGGGGGAAAGGTTCTGTGTCTACCACGGTTTCCGATGATGTTTTAGGGTATCTGTCATGATGTTTAGGGGAACTACAGGAGCAGTGTATCCAAATTTCTTCCATATATATACTTCAACAGATCTTTTACGTCGTGTTTCATAGAACAATTCACCCACAAGAGAAATATCACATAAGCGCATGACGATTCATGATTATATAATCTCATAAGCACTCGTTTAAAAAAGTATTTTTTGCGAAAATAGCAATACAAAATGTAAAATAATTTTTTGTTTTAAATTTTGAAAAATTTTTCATGAAAATCGCATTAGAGGACACTGTCTTAATAGAAGACCCGATGTCTTTTAATGTGAGGGGGTGGGGGGGAGGTATTTCAATTAGTTAATTCAACTCAATTCCATTTTTGATATAATTTGACGTCAACATCATATGAGTTTAACAAAAAATTTCACATTCTTTCGAAAGTATTTGATTTAAATGAGTATTTAAATCTGTCTTTCCTTTTTTTAGACTTATTTACAATTGAGTATATATATCATGTTAAATAAATAAACATCAAAAATGGTGTTTGTAAAATTCTGTTTATTCTGTGTTTTTTTCCTTAGAAAAATTTTTATTGCATTAAAAAATCCAGTAGTATTCTGATGGCACATGTTTCTTATATAAAATTAGTTTGTTTGACTCTTAGTTAATAAGAAAAGAATTTAGTTAACAATATAGACATCTCAATTTAGATATATATATATCAAAAAATCGAAATTACCTACCTGCATGATTTATACTTGTGGACGGTGGTACGATTCGACAACGAATAAATTTAACTAACAGAGGAATGAGAAAATAGAGAAATTTCAGTAGTCCACCTACAAGGCCAATCAATGTTGTCAATATATAAGGAATATTAAATCGCGACGTTACTGAATAAGTACATAATGATACTTGACATTGTTGAAAATATTTAGCAAATGACACATTTTGGTGCCAATCTTCAGTCATTGCTTTGATAAGAAGTTGATCAATAGTTGATGAAATATTAAATCTACTAATAATCGATGAATTTAGAAGTATATCTGAATTGTTAAAAGTAAGAGGAAGTTGAAGATATTCTTTGATCGATAAAATACAAGATGATTGATAAAAACATTCCAGTGAAGATTGTCGAACAGCTTCTACTAAGAAACATCCTTTATATAAACCTGGTATTATCATATAGGATAATGAATTATTTTCGTTTATTCGATGATCTTGAACAGTTAATGGATCAATACAAGATGACGTAATATCACAACTACAAGTATTATTTTCATATAATTGTGGTACACTCGATACAAAAAATGTTTCATTATCAACCGAAAGGATTGCATTACTAAATAAATCCGATAAAAATAAATTCATTTGAGTAGAAAATTTAATGAGATCAAACGATTGATAAAAATTAAGTATAGATGACAATTGAAAATTTTCAATTATTGTATGTATTTGATCAATGAAGATGTTTTCTTGAAGAATTTGTCGTGTAGGAAATCGAGTTTTTTCAAATGTTTGTAATGCATTTGTTAATGAACTAGTTGCAGATCGACAAAATGAAGCCAGAGTAAGAAAGATAAGACTACCAGTATAACTAAAATCATCAGACAAGTATTTACCTGATGATAAACTAATTTCATTGATCCATTCTTGTTGAATTAATTTTGATGAACATAATTGATGATATTGAGGTTCAATAATAATAAAAGATTCATGAAGAATATTAGGATTATCACATGAACATTGAAATGTTTCAGAATAATTATGTGAAAGATATTGAAGATCGACTAATGATGGATATTTTACTTCAATAATTTCATTTATTTTAACTTGAGCTGTATAAATAAAAAGGATAAGTATAGTAGTAATTAAAATTAGAAGAAATAAACGAGTGGAAATTATTTCATTTCGCAATTGATATTCGTTTGTTTCTGTTGAAGATGAACAAAATAAATTTAGAGTTTTAAGTTTGAATATAATTTTTGCAAACATTTTATTCAAAAATAGTAATAAAAATTTAAAGAAAAAACTAAATGCATGTGAACACATCATGAACAAGTTTTCATTTAAGAAAAATTCTTTTTCTACTTTGAAAAATGCCTTATACTCAGTTTAATTAAACTATTTTAGAATATTACGTAGAAACAACCATTTTTATTTATGTTAAGAAAAGCGAAATTCAATTTTTTATTATTATTATAGATCATTTTAAATTGAAATCATAACAAAAACTTAGTCTAATCATAATGCAATCAACAACTTTTAAATTATCAGTTTATTATTTATATAGAATTGTAATTTTACTCAATTTATGTTTGCTAATTTATGATAGTATTAGATAAGTTTTCACTTATAACAATAAAGTTCTTTTTGTTATGGTCAAAGCAACAAAAAGATATTGAATAAAAAACTACGTAAAAACTTTCGAATTATTCTTTACTTTTATTTAATCTTAATTACCTTATATAAGTATGTTGCAACTTATATTTTTAAAACATTTCCATTTGATTATGAAATTCCAATGAAAATCAACTCACTTGAATGACTTTTAAACTCACAGCAAAGATTTTAAATAATTGAAGTTATTCGTGTAGTTTACTAGTCAGATGATAGAAAATGACGTAAAAAGAATGTTTATTATTTTTCAAAAACAAAGAAAATGATTTAGAATAGTGAAATCACTAGTTGTGAGTCACTACCTTATATAAAGTTTCACTAATTTATTCGTCTAAACTCAATTATTTTCCAATTTAAATATATTGAATAAATTTTAAAATAGTTTCATCATATAGAAATAAATCAAAGAGTGATAATTAACAAATGACAGTTTAATTTTAGTTTTTTTTTCTCATGTTGTCTTATCAACAGTTGAAAATATGAAATCGATAATAACATTGAAAAAGCGCAATGTTTTTTTTAGCCATTTATTAATTGCGGATATGAATATGATAAAGTAATGTAATAATACATACTTAGAACTTTTACGAAGAAACAGCAAGTGTTCGATTCTAATTGCAATCATATTTTTTTTACAAATTTTGAATGGAATTCTTATAAAAAGCCTAAAATTAAATCAATCTCTATTACAATTGGGATAATTCATCGAACTTTGAATAGGTCCATTTTTAACAGGTCATTGGCCAATGATAGGTTTTTGTAAAAAAAAAACGATTCTTCAGATTTTTGCTAAAGACCTTAACACATATGAAGAACACAACTCAAGTATCGTTCCGAAAAAAAAATTCATTAAGCTTTGAACAAAATCTCTCTCAGATATAAAAATTGTAAGATGTAGTTCCTTTTGTATGAAAAGTGAGTGCGAGTATGAGTCTTTGTTTCAATTGCCAGTCATATTTACCGTCAACTCAATAAAAAAAATGAATTTACGAATATAAATTGAAATAGTTCATTCAAATTATTGTTTTTTTTTATTGAAAAGAAAATCGTAAAAATTTAGTTTGAACAAAACAACATCTGCAACTCTAATAAAAGATATTAAATAAACTTTTCTTTATTTTATGATGAAAGAAAAATTTTCCAATTTGTTAAAATAATTATTTTTTTTCGTGGTAGAATTATCAATCGAAACATTCATTTAACCAATGAGGGATTTAAATATTGTTTGTTTTGTTTTTCGTTTTATTAAAACTTCTTCAATTATTCAATGAAGGTAATTGAATGATTTGAAAAAGTAAATAGTTATCATTAGAGAAAGTATCATCTCACTTGATTATTTTACTTGCTAAAGATAAGACGTATTCTTCTGCGCAAACATTTGTTCTTAAAAGACATCCGCCGCTGTGAAGCCGTTTGTGTAGACCATGGATACTTTCAATTCCACAAAAAAAGCACACGATACACAATCTGAATTAGAATACTTTCAATATATTTTCAATCTTGGAATGCAAAAGCTGCACGAAACTTAGAAATTTCAAGTGGTAAATCTTCACTTAGACCAGTTCTTACATCAACAAGATCCGTCATTTTGTCCAAATTCTACCTCCGTGATTAGTCATCAACCTTTCTATTCTTACAAACCAATTAGAAACAACTCGAGGATGTCCTTATCAATCGGTAATAAGACTAAAACAACAATTCCTCCTTTTATGGAGAAAAGATATCGTTACCAACCTATTTTACTAACTAATTTCCGAGACCATATTCAACAACAGACTAAAAGTCCAGTGATATCCTCTGCTATTTATTGCATGAATCACAATTCCGAAAAGCAAACTGTCAATTACCTATCCAACTCTCCTCATGATAGTAACTCGGCATTAGCTCTTCAACAACAAGGTACCATCAATAATCAATTCACATTCGCCCAAGGCACAGTTTCGATGGTGTGGGTATGTATGTGGATAGTCTCTTCATTCCGACCCACACACCCTTTTTCTGCTAGTGAAATATCAACTATGTTTAGTACAAAAAAAGATATAGAACCAAAAAAGAAGTGGGTGATAGAAAAACTTAAAACTGGTGAATTTATAGCTACAGGAGAATACCATCATCATTTCACGGTTCATTTTGGGAACATTTATTATGTATTAAACGTTCAAATAATGAACATCCACCGTTTGTAAAATGTCGATTTTACTATGAGATATTATCATATTCCATATCCAATGGAACTTCTACTGGTAACTATTGTTTTAAAAATTGTTTAGATAAATCAAATACACTAAAAAACAACAAAACTCTTGATAAGATGTGAATACGAAGAGAAGATGCGTACCTATATCGGAGTGTGTGTTTAGTTTATCAGATCGAATATTAGAAAAAAAACAAGATAGCTTTTAAATTCAGATATTATTGATGATATTTTAATGATTAGAAATTTTCGAGATATATAATGTTGTTGTTTTTTGCTTCATGGTTGTAACTAATCGAAATGAAATTTTATAATGAATTAATACAAAAGTTTGAAATTTTCTTTATTTAAAAGAAAAAAGGGCAGAGCATGTTACAGGTAGTCAAAATAGCGTAACCGGTAGCCCTCTACTCGCCGCTTTTGTCGCAATATTATTTATGAGCCAAATTATAAATTGGTATACCACTATTCGATTTATTGGTATTTATAGCGTTAGAGTCTGAAAATTACTTTAATTCTCAAGGCACAGTCTAAGAAAACACTCTTTGAGATCTTTTTGTATTTCACTAGTTTAAACCTTGCATATAAAATTCGAACTGAAAAGTGATTTATAGTGTGAAAAAATTCTTTTGTCAATTCAAAAGCTTCTCTTAGAATGATTACGACTTAGAATAAAAAAATTTTGAAATTTAAATTCAAGTTCAAATGCGACTCTTATAAAACTTTCTTCGATCATGAAACGAAGTCGTCTAATTCTATTCGATGGATATATTATCAAATATAAAAATGAGATTTATATATAGTAGAATATTGTATTTTAAAGTATATCAACTAAGTATATAACTTTGTTTTATAATTAGGATTTTTATTATAATAGAGTTATATTCTAAATTATATTTTGAATAATCACTATTTTTTCTGTAAAGATTCTTTTGGTGTAATTAAAATGATGATCAAGTTTCAACAACTAATGAAATGATCTATTTGAATTGAAATGCAACTCATTGTAGGGAAGATTATGATGAAGAAATAAAACTTATATTATACATAGCTGCAATATTTATAGTTGCATAATGATGAAAAAATTATATAATTAACATGGTTTATTTAGAGTGAACTATAATTGTAAATATATAAAATATTTTTATATTTTACTTATAAAGAAGAACGAGATAATTTTGATCATTATTGTGTCAATATATCTACATGAACAATAAAAATTGATAAGTCGTATATAACTTACTTCACTACTATTACTATTTGTTAAAATCATTGTCACGCGATCAATTCCTATATACTCCAATTAACAGTTGGTGGTAAACCATATTCAAATGCTTTACAATTATTTTTATCAATTGTTTGAGCTTCGTCATAACCAACTAGTTTATTCTTAACGATAATAAAATTATTCATTTTTGTCTCATAATTAATTGTTTAAGTTGAACTTATAAGAGAAAAGAAACTATGTTTACTTTTGCTTGTAATTCAAATATTTCACCTTGTACAAGTCTATCATTCAATTCATTATATACATTACATAATTCTTTATAATAAACAAATAATTCAAAACGTTTTCTTAAACTATGTAAATAAAGATGAATAAAATAAAATAAAAGAATAAAAGAAAATTTTCTTTCTATTTTGTCAATGGACTAATGATTTGTGGATAATCACAAATAAATGTTTGGATTAGAACAATGCGATTCAATAAAACAATCCACAGGCTAAATGTACATTGAAAAAAAACTATAAATAATCAATAATTCTATTACTACTGTTAAACTGAACATCAAACATTAAAATTTGTTTTCTCATCAACTTATAATTAGAAATCAAAAGTATTAAATGATCAAGTAAAAAAAAGGACATACTTGATCATCATCATCATCATCATCATGTCCCATAGGCTTAGCGCCCGTTGGGGCCAACCATTTTTACGGGATCAGATTTTTCCACGCCTTTCGGTCTTGTGCGAGGTGGAACAGCTCTTGTCCACTGCGTTGACACCACTCTGTTATGTCATCCAGCCATTCTCTGCATGGACGCCCCCGGCGAGATTTTCCTTCCATGTTCGAAAATATT